TTCTTCACAACCTGATAACATTCACATTTACGCAGAACAAGGAAACACAAACAATTTTCCAGTAAACATATTTTTTTTAAACTCCTGGTGATATTTCCATCGGGGACAACACTAAAATCATAATCAACCCCGCCCGATAAGACAGCAATAACCAAACGACGTTACATCTGCAGACTCAATGACACCCCTTTCCCCAACCCTACATCTCCTCCTGCCTACAAGCAGAAGTGTTAAATATAGACAGTAATGCCGGTTTGGACACATATTTCTGTTTGTCATGACGGTGCTCATTCATGTAAAACAATCCTTAGATAAGACGATTTGTTTCTATATCAATGTGTCACACACATCAGGTGTTTTAAGCTTTGTGGAGAAACATTACAAACTGTAGCCAACTGCGTTAGTGTTTCCGTGTGAAACATAGAAGAAGATTGTACCACAGCGTAGGATCAAGTTCAGATAGTGCAGCCATGTTTGCTTTTGTGGTGGTACCCGAGGCGTTTTAAGGCCCCGGTTCTCAACCTCCAGGTCGCGACCCTTTTTGGGGTCAAACGACCCTTCCACAGGGTCGCCTAATAAGACCATTGGGAAACACATATTCATTGAAGTTATGAAGGAAATATATTGTCTGGGGTCGCCACAACATGAGGGAACTGTATTCACTTGTTGCGACATTAGGAAAGTTGAAGGCCACTGTTTTGAAGAATCTCTTTTGCAGCAATATTGTAACAGGAATTTTGTATTGTGTAACGAAATCTTTAGCTAAAACAAAAAGTGCTTACTACAGCTCTTCTTCTCCAGTCAGAAATCCAGTAAGTAGCAATGATGAAAGCTTTCATGCTCTCTAGATCTGCCCGTGGCCCACACAGCTATGTATTCATTAAGGTTGGCATAGCCAGATTGCTTCCCTGTTAACACCACACAGTCTACTGTTAGTTAGTTAGTTAGTTAGTTAGTTAGTTAGTTAGTTAGTTAGTTAGTTAGTTAGTTAGTTAGTTAGTTAGTTAGTTAGTTAGTTAGTTAGTTAGTTAGTTAGTTAGTTAGTTAGTTAGTTAGTTAGTTAGTTAGTTAGTTAGTTAGTTAGGTTATCATCATTGCACTCCGGACATGTCCATAGGTGCTCAGATCCTCCCCTCAGTATGAACCCCAACGTCCGATGGCTAATAGTACCAGTTCTATGTTGATTAACAAGTCTTCTGACGTGTCCGGTGTGCGTCTCGTTTTTTGCTGTGCCGATCTTAATTCCCAAGTCTGCCATTCTGGCGAGTGATGTGGATTCACTGCCACCAAAGTCCTCTATCCTTCCCATTTCTCTGAGGGCATTTATAATATCAGCATGATCCATAGGTCGACCGTCGGTAGTGATAGCTGATCCAGCCAACCTGTCAGCTCTTTCAATTCCATCGACGCCTGAGTGTCCCGGAACAAAAATAAAGGTGACTCCTCGCACAGTGGACTTCTGTAATGATTCAAGCCATTGTCTTCGCACCGAACCTGCTCGAACCCTCCGGCCCATACTCATTGAATCACTGAGTCTACTGTGCTGGAGTACATGCTCAGCAACATCGGCTGAAGATTAAGTGATAAGCACGACTGTGGATTTTAGGTTGCTGTACGTAAGGGTGCAGCCTGGAGTTATCGACTTTCCTGACCATAATATCTGAGATGAAAACGGAACATCACAAGCAAGTCATTTTAAATACCCACACCCACCCACCCACACACATACACAAACGCACACACTTTTTTTCCTTCTGCCGCTTTTTTCTAGATCACCCGGTCAACAGGTTAATTAAAAACATCCATCGATGCCAAGAAATAAATGAAACAATATGCTTTTTAACTGCATTGTAAAAGAACAACGATCAATGAAAATTCTCATCAAGACATTTCAGGCATTTAAGGGTGCTGTAGATATTAATATACTTGTTTTAATCTCGAACTTATTTCTGTATTTTTATAAAAATACAACCAGACATTTGACCTCTTTTTGGCAACACCGACTGGACTTTCATGGCAGACGTTAACAAAAACTAGACCAGTGGCTCTCAACCTGCCGGTCGCGATCCTTTTTTAGGTCGAACGATCCTTTCACAAGGATCGCTAAGACACTCGGAAAACTTATATTCATTGAAGTTATGAAGGAAAATAATTGTTTGGGGTCGCCACAACATGAGGGAACTGTATTAAAGGGGGAAACCACTACATGAGGGAACTGTATTAAAGGGTCGCCACAACATGAGGAGACTGTATTAAAGGGTCGACACAACATGAGGGAACTGTATTAAAGGGTCGACACAACATGGAACGGTATTAAAGGTCGACACAACATGAGGAACTGTATTAAAGGGTCGACACAACATGAGGGAACTGTATTAAAAGGTCGACATAACATAAGGGAACTGTATTAAAGGGTCGCAACAACATGAGGGAACTGTATTAAAGGGTCGCCACAACATGAGGGAACTGTATTAAAGGGTCGCCACAACATGAGGTAACTGTATTAAAGGGTCGCCACAACATGAGGGAACTGTATTAAAGGGTCGCCACAACATGAGGGAACTGTATTAAAGGGTCGCCACAACATGAGGGAACTGTATTAAAGGGTGGCCACAACATGAGGAACTGTATTACAGGGTCGCCACAACATGAGGAACTGCATTAAAGGGTCGCCACAACATGAGGGAACTGTATTAAAGGGTCGCCACAACATGAGGGAACTGTATTAAAGGGTCGCCACAACATGAGGGAACTGTATTAAAGGGTCGCCACAACATGAGGGAACTGTATTAAAGGGTCGCCACAACATGAGGGAACTGTATTAAAGGGTCGCCACAACATGAGGGAACTGTATTAAGGGTCGCCAACATGAGGGGAACTGTATTAAAGGGTCGACACAACATGAGGTAACTGTATTAAAGGGTCGCCACAACATGAGGGAACTGTATTAAAGGGTCGCCACAACATGAGGGAAACTGTATTAAAGGGTGGCCACAACATGAGGAACTTATTTCAGGGGCGCGCCACACATGAGGAACTGCATTAAAGGGTCGCCACAACTGAGGGAACTGTATTAAAGGGTCGCCACAACATGAGGGAACTGTATCAAAGGGTCGCCACAACATGAGGAACTGCATTAAAGGGTCGCCACAACATGAGGGAACTGTATCAAAGGGTCGCCACAACATGAGGGAACTGTATTAAAGGGTCGCGACATTAGGAAGGTTGAGAGCCACTGTACTAGACTGTCGTGAAAACAGGACGTGTGGTCACCCAGTTGAGGATACAGCCACCTTTGGTTGATGAACACATAATTGGAGTGACTGGAGGCTTTGGGTTTGGATAGCTATCGAGGAAGAGATCGGAGCACCCATAGTTATGTACAGAGTGCTGTGTTGGTAGTTCTCACTATTCATGATTCTACAGCCGTATGCTAACAATGATTCTTGCATTTGTTTGGATTTGTGGAGGGCGCTGCGTGGTCTCGAAGCATGGTGTCTGCCTCGCGTGTTAGAGGTTTCGAGTTCAATCCCCAGTAAGGGCTGGGATTGTTTTCACGTGGACTTGGACTTCTAGTAATTCCCTCTGGTCTTTGAGCAGTGAGATCATTGTTGAGTGTATTGTTGTGCACGTAAAAAAAAAAATCACTTGGCAGCTGGAAAACGAAAAAGGTAGCCTAACAGCGCTGCCCAGGCAAAATTTGGAGTTAAAAATCTATCCAACGTATTTCAGGATCCTCGCCGGTGCTACAGAGTCTTTGCAATGTGCTGAGCTTCTTCGGACACAGATTTGAGTTAGAAGAAGAACGGATCACTTATGGGGGGCCATAATGTTGATCCGTTGTTCAAACTTCAAACTTTAGGTTTGTGGTACACGGAGGAAATAGCGCCGTGGGAAAATTTAGGACAGGGCCATTCAGCTAAGCTCAACCAGGAGCCAACATGCTGGAATGGGGATTGTCGTGGGCCAGAGGCCAGAGCCACAGCACACATAGATCATTAATAAAATACACTCCGTGATCCACTTGCTAGGCTTCTGCGGACCAGATTTGTCCCGCGAGCCGCCAGCTCAATAGCTGTGATTTGGGGAAACACTGTTTTATTATTATTATTATTTATTATTATTATTATTATTATTGTTATTATTAATATTAATATTATTATTATTATTATTATTATTATTATTATTATTATTATTATTATTATTATTATTATTCCAGTTGACAAGACACAAAGCTGAAAAATAAATAAGACAATAAAGAGGATAATGGAAAAAAAAACATGAAATTTGTTTGCTTCAAATTTTATATATCAGAATAAATGTACGAAATGGCAACTTTTCCCGACAAAATGTAGTAATCATAGTAGTAGCAGATTAGTAGTTAGTAGTAAAAAATTAATAGTAGTGGTAGTAGTAGTAGTGGTAGTAATAGTAGTAGTAGTAGTAGTAGTAGTAGTAGTAGTAGTAATAGTAATAGTAGCTGCTACAGTAGTTGATAGCAGCAGTAGTAGTAGTAGATGTAGTAGTACCAGTAGTTGTAGTAGATGTAGTAGTAGTAGTAGTGTAGTAGTGGTAGTAGTATTAGTAGTACTAGTAGTAGTAGTTGTTGTAGAAATAGTAGTAGTAGTTGTAGTAGTAGTAGTAGAAATAGTAGTAGTAGTAGTAGTAGTATTAGTAGTAGTAGTAGTAGTAGTAGTAGTAGTAGTAGTAGTAGTAGTAGTAGTAGTAGTAGTAGTAGTAGTAGTAGTAGTAGTAGTAGTAGTAGTAGTAGTAGTAGTAGTAGTAGTAGTAGTAGTAGTAGTAGTAGTAGTAGTAGAAAAAGAAAAATGGAAGGCAGAGGCGGAGATGGACTGAAACACTAAATGTAAATTGCGGAAACTTTTATGACTTTTCGTAGAGCAAAAATACTGACAAAAGTATTTCTGTATTTTGAACTCATCTTTAGATACAAGAGAATATTAGTACTTGCGTTGAGAGTTTCAAGTAGAAGTGCGAAGGACCAACACAATTCGTAAATGAGAACATATCGTCTACCAGAATTGAACTCTGGCTCAAAGAAAGTTACCACACTCAGTATAACGGAAGGTGTGTAACATATCAGTAAGACAACCGCAATAAACACAACCATATTGAGCGTAGATCTGTCTCTGTTAGACAGGGCCTCTGATTTCTGCTGTTGAATATTTGCTGATCTCCTCCACGCTGATTTTTCTTTTAATGTCCAAATCAAGATGGATGTGAAAATGGCAACTGCTGCTATAGCGATAACTCCCGAGATGGCGTTTGCAAAATAAAGCACTTTAACTATTGCTCGGTTGAGCGATGTAATAACGGAACCGAGTAACGTTCGGTTGAAATTTGGATAGAAGTTCCATTCAAGATAATGTGAAAAATAGATAGGAACTGATGCTAACAAAGTCGTCATGGAAATACACACAATAATTGTTGCGGCTCTTTTAAGAGTAATCAGCTGTGTAATTTTCATTGGGAAAACAACACATAGACATCTTTCAGCTGTGATGTAGACTGTGATTGAGCAACTGAGCCGGCAAAACGTTCCATGAGGTATTCCTCCGGTCAAGTGAAGAAGGTCTTGGTAGACGACTGGTATATTTACGTAAGGTATCAATGAAGTTAGAACCATCCACAACTGTAATAACAAACTGGAGAAGTCGGCTAAAGATAAGGCAAATAAACTAAGATTGATTGTCGACATCAAACCTTGCCGACAAAACACAACTAAATTAATCATATTGGAGATAATTCCGAAGAAACTGATGAATCCACACACATAAAAAAGTACGTGAAGTATGATAAATATTTTTTGATATGTCCTTGTCATGTATATCATCAAGAGAATGTTTCCACTAGTTTGTATTCCTGAAGATGCATTCACAGCGTTGCTGAAAACTTCCATTTCTGCGTGTACCGAAACATCAAAACCGAACCAGCTTTACAAGTTGTCTGTTTAATGAAGGCAGTTAAAACTGTTCAACGTGCTACCAGTCAGGTGAAATATAGTTTGATAACTTGCAGTTTCTTTTTTTTTTTTTAAATCTGGAACCAAAAACATTATATCTGAAATGAATTTTGTTTTAACTAAGTGTCTGTTCAAGTAAAAATCAGACAAAATATCCGGCATCATTTAAACGCTCTTGGAATAAAGTAACAACACAGATGAAATATCAAGTATTGATTGCGACAGCTGACAAGCATATACTAGTTAGAGAAACCACTAGAACAGACAAGGTCACCAATGCTAGCATTAGATAGAAACTTTGAATAAGACCATATCTGGATTATATTTACAGACAAAGAATGAAATGGTTCGGCCATCTAACTAGAATGCAGTCAGACTAAATTGCAAATGAGACCTTTTTACACAGTACACCTGGGAGCAAAGCGAGAGAAAGACCAAGAAAGAGAAGGATAAATAATATAACTGAAACCTGGAAAACGATGAATAGATCCATCAGCCAAGCCACCCGAGAAGCACAAGACAAATACAGAAAACCACGAGACTGGGTTGCAACCTGGCATCAGTGAGACGACAAAAAGAAGAAAAAGAAGAAGAAGAAAAAGAAGAAGAAGAAGAAGAAGAAGAAGAAGAAGAAGAAGAAGAAAGAAAAAGAGAAGAAAAAGAAAGAAGAAGAAAAAACAAAAAAAAGAGATAAAAGAAGAAGAAGAAGAAGAAGAAGAAGAAGAAGAAGAAGAAGAAGAAGAAGAGAAGAAGAAGAAGAAGAAGAAGAAGAAGAAGAAGAAGAAGAAGAAGAAGAAGAAGAAGAAGAAGAAGAAGAAGAAGAAGAAGAAGAAGAAGAAGAAGAAGAAGAAGAAGAAGAAGAAGAAGAAGAAGAAGAAGAAGAAGAAGAAGAAGAAGAAGAAGATGAAGAAGAAGAAGACGATTAGAGAAATAAGATAAATTGGACGTATACGTTTTCTTTGAGACATGATAGAGGAAGAAATGAATTTGCAAACTTTTGACAATTGGCAATATTGAAAGAAAGAGAGCAAGGAGGAAAGCACAGAGATACAGTCATATATAGTTTAGTCATATGGATGCAGACGAGACAAGAACATTGACCTATTGCTTGACTGAGATGATCATATGAGAGGGCAAACACAACAGTCTGCGTTTATCGGTAGAGCAGATGACCGTGGTGTCTTTTGGAACTAAGATTACAGCTAAAGAAACACGCCATCTCTAATGCCGGGGCGAATAAGAAAACTACGAAGGTTAAGCTAAACAATACAGCTGCTGATAACTTTGTAGGAAAGAACAATCGACAAATCAGGACAGCGGGAAACCCTGAAGACAGTCTCATCAACTCAAGAAACACATCACTAGCAGCCGAGACAGTGAAAGATGAAACAGAATCGGGTTAGTCAACACGGACAACGCCCGAGTTTACGAAACATCCGGTATCTAATGTAGAACCTGGTAGGATTGCAGCCTACGTCAAGATGGTGGCACGGTTACGGGTACCCTAATTATAACTTCTTTGGAGATTCAACGGGGTATCTGGCAGTTCCAGGGGGCTTGCCACCCAGACTAAAATCTTGTTGTCTCAGGGTGAACAAAGCTTTAAGGAGCAGCCAGGAAAACAAGGACGAAAAGATGGGGTGGGGGGGGGGGGGTGTGATCATTTTCTACAGAATGTTATGATAGAAATTAGGGATACAGCCGACCCACATAGAAAAGGTCCAGGTGGATCGCCAAAAAAATGTCTGCTTAATTGTGTAGCTGGGTAAAATCTGTCGGTTGTATGGTTTACACTTCAAGGACTACAAACAGGTACAAATCCCGGAAACAACTATCAAACTCATAAAACAGTTACATTAGGACACCTGAAGGTCATGTCACCTGTATTTCAGTCTAGGCTGAGTATAAGGACTATAACTCCTTTAGCGGCTACATGATTCCGGTATTACATTGCTTCAAATCGCACGCGATAATTTGGAGCCGTGATTTAGGAAAACAAATCATTTCTTTTGTTAACTGATGCTCTATCCAGACCAAGCGCCAATAGTGTTCGTTTCTCTGGTCATGAATATCCCCAATATAAATGGCCCCTTAGATTTCTCGAGGAAGTGCCGGTACAGTAAAACGGTAACCTTCAGCATAGTTATACATTTGCATCTCAAATTAATGTTGAAACTTGATGTCTATGTCAGCTTTCATAACCTAGATACATGATACAATAAAGTAAATGTAAGGGTCCCTTTTCCCCGCCTTTTGGCGTATTGGAAATATATCGCTAGACCTATATTTGTATAGACCAATCGACACTTGGCGGGTGATGTGGTCAGCATCATGCCGGCCGCCTTTGCTTTCCATGACTGCACCTGGTACCCAGTCAAGGCTGGGTCGACCTGGGAGTCAAGGTCTTTCCCAGGACTTTCCAATCCGCAGGTTGCGTCTAGCCGTCAAAGCCTCGGCGATTATATGATACTATAACTCAACATTAATTTGTGGATGCGCCTTTGACTAAACAACCTTGACCGACGTCTTTTTTTTTAGCGACAGGTCATTAAGAGTGCGACTGTGCACGAGAAAATAATGAACAAAATGTAGTTTTTCTTCGACCCACTGTTAAACCAGTCATAGTGTGCATTACTTCCTGAAACTAATGAAAGTAAACCTTCCAAAAGTCTACAAAAGACAGATAGATGATTCAAATATATATAGTGAAGAAAAAAAAAAAAAACTACATATGAAATTCTTCTTTAGTGAAAAAAAAAAAAAAAAAAAAATCTCCTTAAGGTTATAGATATTATAATGCTGCATGCCAAAAAATCATATAAAAGTCAGTTTTCGAGAAAATGGCTTGCAGGTGTGTTCATGAGATGTTGAACGAACTATAATAGTCCCTTCTTTAAAGATATTAGATCATGCACACGCAGTCATCATGAAAAAAAAATTAGCTGATCGCGTTCTCGTTTGATTTCCCTCTGGCGTTCAGACATAACACAAATCAATGTCCGAGTTTTCGAAATCACTTTTACAAAATATCAATCTCTCAGTTACAGAGCTATCAGATTGTTGGTGGTTTAGTCTCCAGCCAAGTATATCCGATTTTGCAATCTCCAAGCGACAGCAGCAGCAGATGTCGCATTAGCTGAAAACTGCAACTTTATTGCTTCGGATTTAGCCAATAAACTGCTATCAACATTTGCTTTTTGTTTATGTGTTCGTTTAGCTATCAAGTGTTCCGCAAACAATAACGCATGAATCTGTGGGCCACGAGTGTAAATAGGCTGAGAAACATTGCCCTAGGTAAAACAGAGTAGTCAGTTCGAAGCTTGATTTAGTTTCTATAGCTTTTAATGTTAGTACTGCTACGTGCGTCCTTTCTCTACTAAAAGTGCTATTTCGCACTTGATAATCTACTTTCTCCGAATATTCTCCGAATATCTGCTACATTCTTCTACTCATGGCGACTGATCCCTACAATAGTTCTTAGGGTTGAGCCTCTAACAATTGAGGAACACATAACGTTGGTCTCCGTACGCCCCACCCATATACATACTAGCTCACTTCTGATTAGTAGTTCCTGAACCTGTCACTTTGGCACAAGGTTACGAGGGTGTTTCGCTATACCGTTGATATCGCGTGTTGTATATTTTAGCACACCAGTGCATTTAAAACTCCAAAAATATGGAGACACTGACCCTAACACCCCCACTTACCCTATCCCCCCTAGAGAGGGCTGCAACCTATGTCACAGGCATTCTGTTTCTCGGAATGAAAACGTAAATGCAAGACAACACAGAAAGCAAACAACGGAGTGGGACACACCCATAACCTTCAGGAAAGTCGACAAATCCAACAAACTTGTGAATGAAAAGGGACCTACTCTGTTTGGAGAGAAAAACGTTACTGTAATCGCAGTTGTCAACGGGATTGTCTATTCTCCATAATCATGTATAGATGTTCTATTTTTATGTATTTGTTTATGTATTTCATATTATATAAAATATATTTCTATAGTAATTTTCTGTTGTGCACATAATAACGATATTACTTTTACTATTGTTATTGCACACTTAAACAATTCCTAATCTCTTGAACCCCACCCCTAATCATTTATACGATGCCCGCATATCGTTTCCAAGTGATTAACTTGCGATTTCGTTGCAAATGGTGTTTCACTGATTCCGAACCGTTCAGGAAAAGTTGCAAGCAACTGAACGTAAAAATTGCCTTGTTAAAACACAAATTTTACGATTAGTTTGCAAAGTCCGGCAACAGATCTGCAACAACTTTGTTAACTCTATATGTATGTATGTCATCCAGTTCGCACAGTGGCGATTTTTTTTTTCTTCAAAACTGACCATGACTCTCAGTTCGACCCAGCCTAACATGTTAGTTGTCTAGTTAGTTAGTCGATGGATTATCCTCATTGCATATTAGATCATTCAGTCCATAAGTGATCTGTTCCTCTCCTCAGTAAATCGTGTAGCAGGTGGCGACACTAGTTCTATGTTTATTTCTCATTCTTCTTTGGTTTCCTTTGTGGTGCTCTACCTGGCCACCCCGCTTTTGGACATGCGGTTTTGCAGCCTAAGTTAGGTACCAGTCAGTGTCATTGAAAGTAAAGGACGGATGGACTGCGTACAGACTAGCTAAAAAAAAAATTAAATACGAGTCTACATCATTTGTCCGATAACCTATTGACATTTTTAAAAAGTCCTTTACTGACAGGCCGTATGAATGTGCGGGTTTTCTGGGAAATTATCTTGTTGGTGGTGATG